CAGTTCCCCAGGGATCCAGCCTGGCCAGGGCCCTCAGCAGAGCCCCCCTCCCCTCCATCAGGCCAACGCTCCCACCCAGCTTGGTGTCATCTCCAAAGTGGCTGAGGGCACCCTCGATGCCCCCATCCGGATCATGGATAAAGACATTCAACAGAACTGGGTCCAGAACTGAGCCCTGGGGGCCACCGCTTGTGCCCGGCCCCCAACTGGATTGACCTCTGTTGACCACCACTCTCTGGGCTTGGCCATCGAGACAGTTTTTTTACCCAGCGAAGAGCACGCCTAAGCCATGAGCTTCTCCAGGAGAATGCCGTTGGAGACCTCAAAGGCCTCGCTGAAGCCCAGGTAGATGCCACCCACAGCCTGTCCCTCATCCACCAAGGGTCACCCGGTCATGGAAGGAGATCAGGTTGGTCAAGCAGGACCTGCCCTTCATGAACCCACGCTGGCCGGGCCCCATCCTCTGGTTGTCCTGCCCATGCCTGATGAGCGCGCTCGGGATGAACGGCCCCATCACCTTCCCCGGTACCGAGGTCAGGCCGACAGGGCTGGAGCTCCCCGGATCCTCCTGTCGGATCCTTCTCGTGGATGGGCCTCACGTTTGCCAACCTCCGGTCATCTGGGAGCTCCCGTTAACTGGGGCTGCTGGTCAATGATGGAGGCGTGCTCCTCCGCCGGCTCCTGATTTCCCAGCTCCGTTATTTGGGGTAAAAAGAGACGATTTCTTAGGAAAAAACAAAAATAATAAGTTTTATTGGGTGATAATCCGCTGAATTGAGAGATTTACAGGGGAGCAAAATCAGGATTTGGGACCTGGGGGGGTTGGTGGCGGGGCTGCAGGTGGGCACAGCCGGGATAAATATGGAAAAAAAAAGGATTTGGAAAATGGGGGGGGGAGAAAAAAAACAACAGGATTTTACTGAAATTCTCTTTTCTGAGGGTGGCAGCAGAGCTGGGGGTGGGGGGAAGGAGAAATTCAGCAGCGTGGCGAAACAGAACCATTTTTGTGCCGGCAAGTGGGTTTTAACTATTTTACAGGGGTTATTTTAACTGAAAATCCCTTTTTTTGACTGAAAATCCCTTTTTTTTCACTGAAAATCCCTTTTTTTTCACTGAAAATCCCTTTTTTTTCACTGAAAATCCCTTTTTTTTCACTGAAAATCCCTTTTTTTTCACTGAAAATCCCTTTTTTTCCCATGGTTCGGGGGTCAGACGTGCAAGGTTGGAGGTCGCAGGGATTTTACTGAGTTTTTTTTAGGGATTCACCCATCACTAATGAGTAAAAAATGGGAGCGTGTGGAGCCTCCGAATGCCCCCAGAGCGGCATGAGTTCATCCTGCTTCCCTGCTTTTTTTTTTCCACTGGCGCATGGAAAATTCTCTGGAAACAGGAAAAAAAAAAAAATCACAGTGAAATCAGCAATTCCAGGACTTTTCGCAAATCCAGTGGTTGAAGTGGGAACATCTGTCGTCATTCCAGATGCCGTCGGGCCCGATGCTGCCGCAGTCCTTCTGGTCCTTGTCTTTGTCCTTCTTCCACGTGTTCCAGTAGCTGGAGAGAGAAGAAAAAAAAAAAAAAAAGGTGGAAAAGAAGGGAAAAAAAGGAAAAGAGAAAATGGTAAGGAAATAAAAACAAGCCCCACAGCCGCGGAGCATGCTTGGGAAGAGGCAAAATCTGCGTTTGCAGGGAAGGAGACCACTAAAAAGCTCCGTTATTTTTTAAATCCTGCACGGAAGCGTTCCACTAATCCAATTTTTCCCAAAGTAACCCCTTGGATTTACGTAAAACTATCAAATCCCAAAGTTTTGGCAGCTCAACGTCACCTTTTGCCATTTGTTTTTTTGGATTCTTTTCCAGTTTTGAGGAATTCCGCCCCCTCCTGGAGGGAATTTTTACCTAATGCTTGTCTGTTCGCCGTTAGCCCAGACCCAGTTGCCTTCCTCCACCTGATCCGTCAGCCCCAGCCAGTACGTGCTGCTGCTGTTGATGTTGCTCTTCAGGAACTCCTAAAAAAAAAAAGCAGAATTGGTTAAAACAGCCCCAAAATCATCATGGAATGGTTTGGGGTGGAAGGGACCTCCAGAGGCCACCCAGGAGGGGGTGCAGGAGCAGGGCCACCTTGAACCAGAGCAGGTTGCCCACAGCCCCGGCCAACCTGGCCTTGGATGTTCCCAGGGATGGGGCCTCCACCACCGCCCTGGGCAACCCCTCTCGCTCTTTCCCACCCTCAGGGCCAAGGATTTCTGCCTTCGATCCAGGCGAAACCCGCCCTGCTTTGGTTTCAAACCATCCCCCCGTGGCCTGTCCCAGCCGGCCCTGCTCAAAAGATTGTCCCCGTCTTCCCTGGGGGCCCCCTTGAAGCCCTGAGCGGCCGCACTCAGGTCCCCCCGCAGCCCCCTCTGCTCCAGGCTGAACAAGCCCAGCTCCCTCAGCCTTTCCTCCTAGGGGAGATGCCCCAGGCCCCCCATCAGCTTGGTTGCCCTCCTCTGGGCTCTCCCCAGTAGCTCCTCCTCCTCCTTGACCTGGGGAGCCCAGCACCGGGCGCAGAGCTCCAGGTGGGGACT